AATTAATTAATGATACTTTAAACATGGTTCTTTTTTTTTTTACGAAACCTGATTTCATTACGAAATCGGAAAATGATACAGAGTTGGACCATGGTCCTTGAAAGATAGAAGTCTAAACAAATCGTGAAATTGAGCCCACCCAAAACACAAAATGAAAGCTCACCCGCAAATACATTAATCAGAAAAAAACACAAGAGAAAAACTCCAAAGCCCACCCCAACACCCACGGTAACCCAACCCAGAAAAAACCCAAACACACCAAACACCACAACCCAGCCCACAAAACAACCCTAGCATGGTTCAGTTAAATAAAATATAGTTAGGGCCGGATTTGGGAATGCCCGGCCGGTAACCCAACCCAGAAAGTGGTACCTCCACTACCTTGTCAGCGGATCCTTCTCCACTCCCCCACTCCCCCACCTCCTCTACTGCCCAATAACCGATTTTTTTGCAACTTCTATGAGGTGAAGGCCACGTTTGCCACACACCAACTCATTATTTATTTATTAATTACATTCATTATGATTTTCATTTCATGCTATTTAGTGGTGGGGTGGGCCGGGCCGGCCGGGTTGGCACATCAAATAATAATTAGCAACTTTGAGAGGCAATTTTGGACAAGAATTGTTGACACAGTTGCAATTAGTGATTAAAAGAAAATGGTTAGGGAGGGTTTTGGGATTGCCCAGCCGCCTCTTGAACTCTAAATGGCCAACCTTCTCCACTCCCCCACTCCCCCACGAGGCCACAAATCCTTCTCCACTCCCCCACTATCCCACTTTCCACACACACACACACACACACGTACTCCACTGCATGCGGCCAAATGAATCACGTGTGTAGAATCACTTTCTCTCCTTTATATAATGGAGATACCACTTTCTCTCATGTTACAATTTCCGTTTACTACTTCCCATACAAAACACTTCGGTTCCATTCACCGTGCGAATTGCATTCAATATGGCGGGCCTACCTCAATTCAACCAGTAAGTACTGCTAATGCATCCAACGAATACTACATCATGTAATTTCGATTCTTTTTCACTACTTAGTGCCAAAACTTACAGTCCAATATATAGGCTTCCCCATGGTTTTATTGCTAATCTGCAATATGATGATGCTCTTGAAATTTGTGAGCGTGCCGACACCATCGATCTCATTATGTTGCAAGTGGATGTCGAAAATCAGGTAACTAAACAAATAAATTTCTTTTTAATCGTACGCCTTTTGTGGCATGCTGCATTTTATCGATTTGCTTTGACAATATTCGTTTCTGTGTTTACATCAAGGCACCTCTTTTCTGTTATCTCGACGTGTAACGAATTTGACGACGTCCTAGTCCCCTGCATCCAGAATCCATTTCGTCCACCTCACAATTGAGGACGATTTCATTGTTGTTGACATCGTCTTCCCGTCATCACAGTTACGAACGATTGTTGGATCTGTATTCAGTCATGCAGATGTTGTCAATGCTGACTATATGACCCTTCTGAACATGCTTGGAGAACAAACATTTGAAGTCATGGTCACAGTCGGTCCCTGGAACGATGCATTTGGTTATTGTGAACTTGTGTTGGTGAAATTATTTTTGCCTTTGTTGAATTGAGTACCATGTCATGAACAATGAGACAATGTCTTGAGTTTTCTTATTTTGGACTTGCATGTTATTTGTCGTAATACTCAACTAGATTAGATTTGTGATTAGTAAGATTTTATGTAAGTACTTTTATCGTGATTAGCTAATCTTCAAATGTATTTCTAACTTATTATGAATGTTCATTCAAATTACATGTTCGTCTTCAACGAATTGCAAAATTGCAACAATCTTATGATAATATAAAACAAGACTCATTTCTCGACACTATCATTATAGATATTGTAACTCCATTTCCTTAAACAAATGCGGCCAACGGGCCGGGCTATAGGTTAGTTTCTAATTAGTGGTGATATTTATTTAGTCGATGTTATACCATTAATCGATTATAAATTAGCAATGTGGTTAATGGTAGGTTGAAATGATTTTTTTTTTTTGTAATTGATACTCTTATAGTTGATTAAATATTTACGTTTTTCTTCTTCAATACAGTCATTGTTCCTCTTGAATTTCGAACAAACAATCATATTCCTTTCTAGGCCCTATTCGTCTTTCCTCAATTTAGCTAATTAAGTTAAATTGTAGTCTGTTAGCGTAAACTCAAATCTAAACGGTAGGCTAAATAACAATTTAATCATTTGAGTAGTGGTAGAACTTTCTATCTAATGGAAAACACAACCCCAATCACCAGTATACTACTTCACATATCGAGTTATACTTGACTTGATTAGCTGTAGTAGAATAGTAGAGCAACATGTCTATGACTTTTCAACAAACATCATCCCAATTTCTTGCATCAATAACTTCTCATCACTCATCTCTTCCCTTCTTCACTTTCTTCTACGGAGTTGTTTGTTTGATGGATTTGATGATGGATTTAGATTTATCATGGACTTTGTCCAAAATTCATTGTTTACCTCGTGTATTTAGGGGCAACAAATTCGTGGGTCCCACGAACTTTAAGGGTCCAACTCCGTGAACCCCACACGGACTTGAAAGTTCCACCTCTTTAGGTGGAAATTAATCATGGACTTTTAAGCCCATCATTTAATACCAAACTATCCCCCCTATTTCATTTCTTTTCTCATAACAATGAGGCCAATATAAGTAAATTTTACTTTATACGTACAAATCTAATAAACCAATTCTATCATGAAATTTATGAAACAAATAATAATATGTTTCAAGTCTATAATGAACCCAAAACTCTTTGTATATTTATGATTTTACAAAATCCAAAATTTACCAAAAGCTTCGTTTTTTCAAATTCACAAAGCAAACAAACCGTAAGTTCCGAGAGAAACAACAAGGCGAGTGTGACGAGTATGGACTGGTGGGGCAGTGACTGATACTCACATCACATGGGAAGAGTCAGATAAAGCGGAGTACAGTATAAGTAACTAAGCCCTGTGGCTGCCCGCTTGGTTGATTGTTTGCCACTTTTATGAATTTTAACAACTTTTCCAATCCTTTATTTTACTTTCTTATCCTTTATCCCTTTATTGTACAGTATGAAACATGGAATACCCAATTTAGTTTAATTGCTGGCTGGGGCTGGCTGGCAAAAATATAAACTCTTGTGTGTGTTTCAGGGCATGCGCATCATTCAATTGAATGTGCAGGTAAAATATGATTGTGTAGTGTGTACTATGTATTTGTTATCAACCATATCATTTTACTATTTTTTTCTATCAACAAACATATCTCCGTACTACAAACATGTTATCAAATATGCACATTCTTTGAGATTCTCGGCTAAAAAATCGTCAAGTGTGGTCAAGTACTACAAATGATTTATCAAATATGCACATTTGTTAGCATTCTCAACTGAAAACCTTGAATCATGTCAAACCACGATTTGGACAACCTGATAAAAAGGACAGTGTCAAATATGCCCCTCTCTTTATCCGTAAACAAATTCTGTTTTCCTTAAAATCCCGTTCATTATTGGGAACTCAAGACGTCTTCTTCCACTCTCTCTCCCATTAAGTTCACTTCCATTCCTCAAAATCCAGTTCACTGTTGGGAACTCGAGACGTCTTCGCTTGATGGTGGATATAGTATGAAACCCCTATCTACAAAATAAGTGCACTTATATACACCAAACGACTTGTTGGTCTGATTAACTCATCGCTAACTTTATTAGGAGTCTTGGATTCTAGGTGGGAAAAGAATTTCATTACTAGGTGGATGATAATTGCTACTTAGGGTGGGCTTTAGTATAGAGCTTAGGATTAAGACTAGGCTAGAACAGTATAAAGTTGAAAACTGTTTAAATGTCAAACGCAATATGATTGAGGTGGTGACTATGGGATGTTTAACCAGAGTAAAATTTAAAAGGAGAGAGGGTAATGAATTAAAGATTTTTGAATCCTTGTTGGACACCACAATCATCCCACTATTGTTCAAGTTTTGAACCCTCATAGTTGGAGAATAACCTTTTGATTTATGGGTGAATATAATGTAATATTCTAATTTTTCCTCTCCCTCTTGTGAAATCGAAACTTACAGAAAACTTGCCTTAGAAAGGCTCATGCTTGCTTCACCTCTAATATGGGACGAAGACGAGGGAGGAATAAATGACAAAATCATTGTCGACAGCAACAAGGCAACAAAAACCAAGCAGACTGAGAGTGACTTCTCCCATCCAATCCAACCACACTCAGCCCCAGCCCCAGAGTTCAAAAAGTCATTATTAGTTTAGAATTTAGATGCACTACTCACTCTGTCGCTAACTCGACGTTCTATCAGCCACTCAAATCTTTTTCCCTTTTCCATCCCAATCGATTCCATGCACATCAACATGGAAACAAAGTTGCTGGGTGGGGAAGGGCCAAACATCCCACCAGTCCCTCTCATTTATTACTTCTAAACATTAACAACTAGCCAATTTCGACCTGACCCGATTTACCCGACCTGTTTTGGGCAGTTCAGACCCGCCCGGTAGGCGGGGCGGGGCGGGCATGAGTACCTCTCATCGACCCGACCTGCCCTTACCCGCCTCATTCTCGGCCGGTTCTTGCTTATATTACATATAATCTTAGTCAAATTACTTAGAATTTTCCTCTTATTACATTATATTATAGCTATAATAAAGTTGTAAATAAGTGAAAATCTCAATTTCTTCAATAATTTAACTACATTTTATCATATTATGGTTTCTTTCTTGGTCTTTTAATGAAAATAACGAATGTTTCTAATGTTTTTTGCATAAATTACATACCCAATGAGTCGACCTGCCCCGGCCCGCGCCCCGTGATAAATTACCCGACCTGGACCCTGTCAAGAACCAGTTGGTCCCAATAACTCGAGTTGTTGGGAGAAGATTCTGCTGGATCTTATACCACTCTCTTACACGCCCTCTCAAACGAAAGCCAACCCATGGGCTTGAAGTTTGCACAGGCACACCATACCTTGTGCTTTAATCAACTGTTAATATTGGGGGTCGTGGAGATTTGAACACACGACCATTTGGCCAAACCAGCTCCGATACAATGTCAAGAGTTATTTGGATCAACTGGTTCATGACATGGTATCAGAACCTTCTATGACCGAGAGGTCTTGTGTTCGATTCCCGGTGACCCCCATTTGTTAAGCACATGATATTCTTGTCTTCATACCTGTGCAAACTTCAAGCCCTTGTGAGTGGCTTTCGTTTGAGGGGGCGTGTTAGTGTTGTGGTATATGATCTACGATTGAACCTTTTCCAACAACTCGAGTTACTGAGACCAACTAGTTCTTGACAGACCCGACCTGCCATGGGGCAGGTATGGGTATCGAGATACCCGCCCCGAACATGCCCCATTGCTATTCCTATTAACAACCCACCATCCAAACGTGCGCTCACCCAACAGTAACTAACACACAAAAACAATCTTTCCAGGTGCGGCTTACATCAACAGACACAAAATCATTGTAATGGCTGACTGATAGCTGACAACTAGATCAACTTTTACACATTTGTCACATACGTTGTTATCGATCACCGAAACGTCATATTGAATCTAGTACAACATACCTCCTGCATAAATACTTATAATGTTCGAGCTAGGGTATCGTTTTGCCGCCCAAAACCTCCCTCGACACAACCAAGCAGCTAACATAGCCTACTTCCAATACTCAACCTCTTAAGTCTAAACCCAAAACCCTCACTTTCTGTGTAAACAAAAACTAACACAAGAACAACTTCTCTCCTTGTCCTTGACTACCCAGAAAGCAAAGAAGCAGTTTTAATATTATATACTTGCAACAACTGGCTTTGTAAGGGACGAAAGAGCTATAAAAATTAAGAATCTGACTGACACCACGCACCACCCGTTTAGTGATAAGGACTAACTAAAGGCTTACTTATGAAATGAATTAAGATGATACATCTGAAGCTCTCTATGCAATCCGGTCATTCCTAAATACCACCTCAAATTCTGATAAAATACAACGATCATCATTGACCAACACACAGATTATAGACCGGTGCCTTAGAATCGCAAATGGGATAAATATCAAAGTTCGAATATAGCTCTTTGTTACCTCTGGGTGATCCTGTTATCGAGGACGAGGATGACTGACTTGCTGGTATTCTCGAAGGCTCTCAATCGTGACCTTCCTCCGCGTCTCGAAATCCAACCTGTGAAGATCAGCAGCTGTGGCAAGATACCCATATAGAATCCTCGTCTTATCCCCACTGCGATGGTCCACCTTCACGAAGTTTGGATTCCGCTCGTCGTCGTCCCTGCCTAAAGTCACCGGTTGTATACGTTCCCATGTGATTCGTCCATGATTCTGCACAGCAAAATGATCGGACAGCTGCACGGCCTCCTTCAAGCCTGACATGTCACCGCTATACTTTACGAGCGTCATTCCTTGATGACCGTCTCTTCCATACAGTGACTTGGACTTGCCACCTGGAAATCCAAGAGCTGAAAAGCCACATTGTTATAGAAAGTAAAATCAGAAAGGGAAAAGAGATAAACGTGATTTGCACTGGCATTATGACCAGCATATAACAAAACTAGAATTGCATTTACAAAGAAATGAAGCCAGGAGGAGCATCCGCCAAATGTGAAACGAGCACTGCTCTATTTGTTCAGTAGCCGAATATATGTTGACAACCGATAACTGATCTCAGTCTCTAAAAGATCTGACTCAATTGCTCAAAGGATATGAACATTCATCTGACTCAGTTTCTCATTAGCGGTAAGAAATACTAAGTTCTGAAAAGAAACTAGGTATTCGGTAAGTTTCCACGTTCAGTCAGACTCAGCTTCAGTGCCTGGCAGACATGAAGAGATGGGTTCTGCCCATCATCATACCCTAACAAGATAAATTAGGGTATTAAGTCTTAACAAACTTGTATCTGTAGCAGGAAAAAGGCACAGGACAGCACAGCACATTCTAACAGGATCATTAATGTAGCTGCATTAGACAGCTGAACTGGCATATTCACTCCATGACCAAAACACTGGCTAAGAGAGAATATTACAGCTAAGAGCAGAGAATCTATCTGTGACAGTGACTTGAGTTCATCTGAATGGTTATTTCTGAAAAATAGAGTTCCAACCTACCGTTGGACCCTATTCATGAAGGTCAATTAAGGACCGACAGATAAAGAGCTACTATTCTAGTTCACTGAGACAACGGGCTTAAAGGAAGGAAAGTTACCCCGAAAACATCAGAAGCCCAAGCAATTGCTTGCTTCCTAAACCCGGCCATGATATGAATATAAGACCGTTGAGACATAACACATAAGAAACGGTGTTAACCCCCCTTTGCTAAAGAAGAAAAGAACTGTTTAGCAACAACCTTACCCATTCCTCGCCAAAACAAAAACAAAATGCAAACAACCTATTCCTGATTGTTGGAAGCAGGATGTCAGATATACTCCCCCTCCTCCAAAAGAAACTGAGAGGCCACCAAGATTGAGAAGGAAGTTGTTCTAACATTTTTGAAGAGTGAAAGTCGGTGCAACTCCATTCTTTAACAGTAAGGTTTACTTAGAAACCAGACTTAGGCTGCAGAATCATATCTATTGAGTTGCTTGCAACTCAATACCTAAAGAAACTAAACAAAAGAAAGAAAAGGAGGGAAAGAACTCAGAAACCAACAACTCTTCCGACTGCAATCTCCTGGTATCTTCTTAGACCACTACCTTCAGTGGTGCCTCTTCGCACAGACGGACTGAGTGTTTAGCTCACTTTTTAGTAGCCGGCTTCAGAGCTGCTAATGTTCCAAAGCAAGTTCTTCTACAGATGTTTGTCAAAGATAGAAACCCTTCTTGGATACAACCAAGTCACTTTAGTAGATTGAACTATACTGTTATCAGGAGGGTACCCAATAAGCACATAACGTTTTTCCATAAGATTGTTCTATGACAATAATCTCGATTTACTGCCCTACCCCCAAAAAGGCGAAAACAGTGCAGAATAGGAAACAGGTTGTCAGAGAATACTATTGTGCAGTGCAACCCATCCTCCATTCACGAACAAAGGAATCCATGGATCTGATATGTCACATTGTTTCAAAACAAACAAGAACGATTGAATGAAGGTTTGCACTATACCTCTTATTTTGCCATCCATGACTTTATTTCCCAAACCTTCCAAGCGCCCATCTTTACCCCTTCCTGTAACTGTGTTATGAATAATCACCAAAGGTGGCCACACAATCACATCGTTCTGGTTTGCTGCTGCTTCATGGGCAGGTAGGAACTGGTACGCCCTTGAACTATCAGGAATCTTGGTGAAGTTCCATCCCATTAAAACACACAGGGCTTTGTGTAAACCCAAGTGATCCACACGAGATTCAGCCTTTTCTGAGTTGTATGTATGCATTATAAGAGCATGCACATCTGGAAAATCTTTCGACCTGTACTTTGCAGCATGAAGGGGATCGAACAATAACGAATTTAGGCAATGATCCCACTTGTTTGCTGTGAATCTAAAACACCAAACAGATTTTCCGCAGCCTATACAGTCAGGTCTACCAGAAAACTACCAGACAAGGAAATAGAGTGGTACAACTATAGTAATGTTCCATTCCATGTCATGCATCAACCTTTTGAGTTGTGTTCAGATACAGTTGGAGAAGGAAAAAAGAGTTAAATCAACATGTGTTCACAATTGCACTCCTCGGGAAACCAATACACTAAAAAACTGAATTCGCTGGTAAGTTCTGAGTATATCATATACAAAAGTGAATTGATATTCTATAATCATCATATTAATATCAGGGATAATTATTAGGATAAATCATTACTTGGTTGTTAAGATTAGGTTTATTGTTAGGTTTTCCGCTCTTTTCCTACAAGTGTACTTTGTTATTCGTTTGGTAATCAATCAAGAAGAATATAAATAAAATCTCCTAAATCCTAATCTCCTCCTCTAATCCTCTCAATCTCTCTTTGCTCCCTAATCAGGCCGCCGGCCATTCTCTCTAGTTCTTCCCCAATTCTTCCCCAAATCCAATCTCAATCCGTAATTCTATCTTCTTCAACCCTAAATCCCCGATTCTGGCCTATAATCCCCAATTCCCAAACACCAATCCCGACCCAAAAACCCGATAGAAACATGTTTCTATCAATCTATCTGTACAAAGAGCACATGCACACAGGTAAGTAGTGAGCATCCTCGTCTTAGCCCCTAATTCCTTAGTCTAAAGTGTGACAAATCAGGTGTTTGAGGACAGAAGTATGTATGCCCAGTGTTTATATCATGGAAAGGAAGATTTCTGTTGTTGATAGTTGCTGGAATTTAAGAGAGCAATGAAATTTAGGGTTCTAAGGTTTGCCTCTCCAACCAAGGAGCAGGACTTCACTTGAGAATCCACTCAAGAAGGCTCTAATTCTAATCAAAGATTCAATAGAACTTAGATCTTTCATCCTGTTATTCTAGCTACGAACCACCTTAATGGGCGGCAAAATTTACTAAGAGAAAGCAAGCTTTAGGACGATCATAAGCAAGTAATAAACACTATAACTTACATAATAAAAACCTTCAATAAGGAAAAATAAAATAAAAAATTACAACAACCTCCGTGGACATCAGAGTCGACACATGGGGAATTAGGGTTCTTCATGGGGAGATCTTAAGAGGGAGAAGTGATCCAATACTATTCTGATATAGCATTGCTCTTGGTGCTGGTACCTCGGTCAATCAATGGCCAAACCAATTTACACAACCAGCTGGAGTTGATGTTGTTTTCCGACAATGAAGTAATATCAATGAGAATGGACTCATGGTTTTTGATTAAAGCACCCGTGCTTGGCAGCCGTTTAGACTGTGGGTTTGATTGCTTTCAGGAAATAAATGTTGGCAAAACAATGGAAATGATGGCCGTGCAGTAGCCCAAGCAGCAGCCAGGAATGAGTCCCTGCATACTGGTTAGCAGCTATGTGTGTCTGGGGAAGGTAGCTAGGATAGTATTAAAGCCACAGCAACTCACATAAACACCACCCACTCGCGATCTTAAGTTCATATATCGAGAAAGAATGAAGCTATAGCATACTAATATTTAAGTTCCTTCCACAAAGGTGCAGCAAGAGAGGAACACATAGGACCTAAATCAAAGATTGAACTACTATCGAAGGCAAGAGGTTCCCTCCTGCCCTTCAAGGGCATATGTGAAACAATCATAGTGGCAGCACGAATTAGAAGAGTAACTTAAAGCAGATAATCCTTTCTGAACCCTCGTGCCCTCAAGCAATGTAGTTAGATTAAAAATGGCAAACAATTGGAAACCCATCAGTCATTCTAAATACCCTGTGCTTCACATACATTCCATCGTCAAGTCAGCAGAGCTATCATCATGTAGGACTTGGCCACAGTCAACCAATCAGAGGGACCCCAGCTCACGAGTAATGATTCGCAGAAAAAACAAATCATATGGAAAAAGTAGCTTTCAGAACCACCAAAAGCGACTGCAAACAAGACAAATTAACATATTCCCAGCAACTTAACAGGTAAGTCGAATTAATCCTCATCTTCACCCACTATTATCTTACTCAGATTCTCAAAAAGTTTGATGAAATCAAGTGCTTGAGGACAGAGTCTGACGTTCCTAGAGTTAATAGTGTGTAAAGCAAGCAGGAAAAGAAGGTTTCTGTTATGATTGCTGCAATTTCAAGAAACAAAGGGAAAATAGGGTATAAAGGGTTGAAGTCCAACCAAGGAGCAGGACTTCACTTGAGAATCTAACCAAAGACTCGATAAAACTTTGTTCTTCATCCTGAAATATGTAGCTACAAACCACCCTAAATCTGAGCTGGAATTACAAGGGAAGGTTAATTTTATTATAATCGTCAGTAAATAATAAACACTGGAACTTGCATAATTACAACGAACTCTACGCACATTGAGTAGACAAATGGGGCATTACGAGGCAGTGATGGCTGGTGGGACTCTTAAAAGGGACGATTCATCCAATGCTATTCTAGATATGGAATTACTTTCCTGCTACTTCCTCCGTGTGAAAAAAAGCCAAAACAATTTACACAAGAAGCTGCTACTGCTGTAGTGTAGCAACTAATCTCGCTGAGAAAGGGAGCACTTCAGGGGTTTTCCATAAAGCAAGGGCCTGATTTGGACAGTCATTTCAACTGTAAGTTTTTGGATTGATCTCCACATATCATTTTTGGTGCTCATTTCTCTATAAAATGTTTTTTGGGTTTTTGAAAAGGATCCCATGCTGTAGTAGGTAGTACGAGAGCAGCCATGAGGAATGAGCTCCTGCATACTGGGTAGCAGCAAAATAATGTCTGGGGAAGATAGCAAGGAAAGTATAAAGAACCCACTGCCACTGTCGCTCGAGCAAATGCTACAAACTCATAGACTCAGATTCCTTGATACAGAAAGAATGAGGCTATACCATTTTTCCTCAAAGTGCACCAAAAGAGGAATGCTTGGGACAAAAATAAAGATGGAACTACTACCGAAGGCAAGGATTGCCCTCCTCTAACGTGGAAATGCACAAACATCATAGTGCCAACATGAAGTAACAAGGAATTAAAGCGACAACCCTTCCTGGTTCCATCAAGCAATGTAGTAAACTAGCAAAGAAAAGAATTATCCACCCCTAGCTCGAAGACATAAATAACAACTGCAAACTCATCAATCAGAGTCCAAACTCCCAAGTACCCCATGTTCGAAACAACATGCTACCTTACACTACGAGAAGAAAAACTTGCATAGGAAAACAGATGCACAAGTATCGAATCAGTAGAGAGAGTAAAAGACAGGAAAACTGAAACAAACCTGTTGCAAGCGACACAAGGTATCCGTCCATGCTTGCCGTTCTCTAAATAACGCATTCTCTCTGCTTCACTGTCATTAATCACTTTAGCGAAGTGTAGAAAAGCCGTCTTTAGCTTGTTCTGGTCCACTTCAAGGTGCTTATGGATCATTCCCGCGCTGTCACCACCAATCCTCATAAACTTCCCTGGCCTCAGTTCATCACCCCTCATAAAAGGACTGCTTGGCCCGGCCCCAGCTGAATGAAACCCGTTCGGGTTGTTGCTGAACTTGAACTCGTCCTCCCCTCCTCCAGCGTGCTTCCTCTTCATAGCGGCGCTGTGGTTTTGATCTCGACCCTGATTGCCATCACGGAACCCTAAACCTTCAGGACTCATTGGCGGGAATCTGAGATCCCCGCCGGTTGGAAGCTGACGAGGGGTCACGAAACGGGAAGGAGGGAGGTTCTGGTAATCTGGGGGAAGAGCAAAGTAGGACCGAACGCTACCGTCTGCAAGGACAATGGTCCGTCTTTCCAGCATGTGGAAGCCATAGGTGGGAGTAGGAGGAGGTCCGAAGTCAGGGAAAGGGAAGGCTGCACCTGGTGGCGGAGCAAGAGCTTCCGGAGGTGCGGTAGGCTTGGGAGACGGCCCTGTCTTCAGCTTCGGCGAGGGTTTGGAATTGGAATGAGGTTTAGCCGGTTTAGGCAGGTTGGATTTCGATCCTGACGGTGGATTGCTGGCGACGGCCGCGGCGGAGGAAGAGGACTCCCAGCGAGATTTCCTCTGCGACGCGGAAGCATAGGAGGAAGGCTTCAAGGAAGAGGATTTTTGCTGGGAGCTGTTAGTCATATCCGGTAACAGGAGAGGATTCCTGCAAGACCGGGAAAACTGCCGCCGATTGCTGGAATCAAAATTCACCGGCGTCTGAATCACGGCAGCAGAGGAAAGAGGAGCGCGAGTGAGAGATCTCGTCTCCTATTTTCAACGGAAAGGCGAGTCATAAATCCGAAAAAACAGAGACTGACGTCTGACGGCGGAGATATAAGAGGGAGGGAGGGAGGGAGAGAGAACAGAACGACGTCGGAGGCTTGATTCAATGACTAACTTGACCTTCACGATTCCTCAAAATAACAGCTATGTCCATTTCCATTCGGATAGATTCGAAGAAGAAAATGACGTAAGCTGAGATATCCGACCTGAAGCGCGCGATTGGAGCCAGCTGCCGAACTGGAATCGACGGCAGAACAATGGCGCCGACCGCCGCGAGTTTTGCGGTTAATCCATGCCTTTCCGTTCCTGTCAAAGCACCAACTGATTGTTCCGAACGCAAGGGTTCCTGTAAGTACATACCACTCCCTGCTTCCGAACCGAATTTCCAGATGACGATTTCATCGTCGCTTTCACAGATAAGCAGCTGCGACAGAATCAAGTTGCGGAGACTCGTCGGCGAGTCTTGCTCGCCGGTGCTATTTCGGCAATATCCAGTCTGTCTCCGTACTGGATCCCGACGACCTTGCCTGCCAGAGCCGAAGGAGGACAACCGGCGAAGGACGAAGAGGAGGGCGTGATCGGCGCAATCAAATCGCTTCTGGATCCAAACGAGAAGACGAAATCAGGGAGACTGCTTCCGAAAGCTTACCTGAATTCGGCTAGAGAGGTGGTGAAGGCGCTGCGAGAGTCGCTGCAGGAGGATCCCAAGGACAATGCCAAGTTCAGACGGAACGCCGACGCAGCCAAGGAATCCATTAGAGAGTATTTGAGCAATTGGAGGGGCCAAGAGAAGATCGTCCACGAGGTAAAAATTGTTGGGTCGTTCGCAAAGACTGATAGTGCTGGATCTGGTAAATCTTTCATCAAGCAATCATTGTAACCTGTCCTGCAGGAATCGTACGTGGAGATAGAGAAGGCAATAAGAGCACTGGTGAGCTTCTACTCGAAAGCAGGGCCATCCGCAGCACTACCGGAATCCGTGAAGTCTGAGATACTGGATGATTTGAAGACCGCTGAGGAGTTTTTGTGAGAATGTAAATATCAATAAAGAAGCAGCATTGGATTGAATGGAAAGGAAAGGAAGAACAATTTCAATCTCGGTTTCTTGCACACAAGGAAAAATTGGTATCGAGAAACCAGTAGTCTTCTGTAAGATGGGATAACAAAAAAACAGGGGATATCTGCAGCGTAAGAATTGAATTGAATTCGATTCTTTTTTACAGGGAGGGTGAGAGAGCATCAAAGTACCAAAATCTGGAACTCCGCCACCCAATACCGAACTTATATACACGTTCCACAGGTGACTGCAAACGACATAGCTGTTACTCTCAACACCACCCCATTCAACATACAGCAGCGGCTAGAAGCCTCACCCTCTCTCCCTTCACTCCACGCAGCGAGATTGATTACTTGCACTCTTCCCGGGAGGACCAAAACTTGGAAAAAGCATAGCAAGATTGTCGAGCGTACCTGGCAGGCATACTAGCTGGCAGCCTGGCAGATTTTTCATGGTAATTTTATACATACAGAAGCAACCCACTGTGTCCAGAACAACGCATCCGCTTGAGATCACATGCCAAAACTAGGTGCCCAAAATGCAAACCCTCACTGTCGTCGGAGTAGTGTAAATGATTGGAATGTGGTAGCTACTCAGATTCCGTTTTACCTTCACTCGCATCAGTGTCGAAACCATGCTCATAACTTGCTTCTGGATGGTTCGTAGCTTCAAGGCCTGACCCCACTTGATATTCCTCCTGGGGAGCGTCAACATTGGTGGGCTCAGAGTCTTTCTGGAAATCACTTGAGGATTTAGTCTGTTCAGTAGAGAATGAACCTTTATATTCATCCTCGGATGTAGACTCGCTTAATAGATTGAACGCTTGGGCATCATCAGTTCCATTCTCCCTCAAGTCGTGTACCGCCTCTTTGACTTTTTCTCTCCGACTGCTCGTAACATTAGGCATCCTCAAATGGTTAGCAACAGAAGCTGATTCATCCACACAATTAACTTCCTCGCCATTTACGGGTTGTTTATGCCCATGAGAAGCATCTGGTGAAGCGCTCATTCCAGAAACATTATCTGAAGAAATGGGAAGAAGAAACTGGTTATCCGGATGAGCATGAGAAGAGATATCGCCATTCTCCCCAGCAGCTGATTTCAGATTGGATATTCTGGATTTATACAACTTCTTCTCCACTAGTCCGGAATCTGAGCTGACGCTATGCTTAATCTTGTGGGGTGCATCTAAGAAACTCTTTGTAGAGTGTGCAGAGGCATCTAGACCCGATGTATCAGATTTTCCCCTAGACAATTCTCCCACTTTTGCTTCACCATTATCAAGCTCGAGACCACCACTGTCACTTTCATTGAGATAATCTCCAGCTGAACCACTATATGCAGAACCATTGTCCATACATTTATCACCGTTGGATCCCATCTCTTTCACACCTACACAGAATAATAGAGAGTTCATCAACATATGGGATCAGGTCAGGAAAATATCTACCCACAAAATACTAAATGGGAAAAACCTTCATTAGTGTTCATTTTCTCCACATGTTCCTGCTGAAGTAACTGTTTCTGAAGCATATCCACACCAGGGAACACCATCGTATTCATGGACTTCAGATCTTGCTTAAGGGATTCATCAAGGCTAGTGAACCCAAATACCTCCGTCCATGTGTGCATTAGCTCAGAAATCGCAGGAATAATTAGCTTCTCAACCTTCAATGAGCGGAGTACCTGCCAAGATATAAAAGATAAAACCAATGGTCCCACAAGCGAGAAAGGTGAGAGGAGCGCCCATTGATTTAAACAAAATCTTAACCGTAAACAAAATGGGTATTCAAGAGGTTTAAGGAAAACTTATACCGATTCAACAGCACTAAAAAGACGCCTGCACATTCCCTGACGTCTATATATGTGGCGAGTTCCGATGAAGGGCATTTCGGCTAACTCTGTCCCATGCAATCTAATAAAGAAAAGGTTCAACTAATTGGTTAGACTAGTTGCCTTCTCAAAGCTCAATAACCAAACAAAGGCAAAGCATATGCCAGCAGAAAGTGTCATGCTTTACAAAACCCAAATCCAAACCAGATCCCCATGCATGGGCCTCAAAGTAAAACTAGCATGGCCAATGAAGGTAGTTATGCAACCTAAGCTGCAGGCCACATGAATCCACAAAGAGATTTATCAGTAACAGTAAACTTTAACTTTGCATATCTCACTTCGGCTTTACCAGAGATTAATCTCTGAGGATCAGGATCAAAGAAGCTTCGACTAACGAAAAAATTTCTTCAGAACTTTTTACTGGCAATTATGTTCTCTCACTAGTTAATACTTTAAAGCCACAAATGGAATGAAGTCCACATAGCATATATAATCAATGTCATACCTTATGGATGCAGCAGAAATGATTTCATCACCCCTCTCCAAAATCAAGGCAAAGAATCCACTGTAGTTGAGTCGATTGAAGTTTGACCTGTAATAATATTGGACAAACATAATTTGGAATGATCAGTATTGGTGTTCCATCCAAAATGAAAAGAACAAAATTAACATAGGTATAACAATTTCTAACAGCCTGAAGAAAAGAGAGCAAACTACACGAAGAAAGGAAATGACAAGAGGGAGTAATATAGAATGGGCAAGTCATAGACTATTAGACCAGCTGTTACAGAAACAAATTCTCTAATGCCAAACTGGGAAGCACTCTTAACCTTTGAGTGTAAGAATTATCGAGAAATGAATAAGACACAAAATATATCTATATTGACAGAAATAGCTCGCTCAGACTTGACACATGCACTAACAAAAGTTCACGCTCAAAATGAGGAGGCACGATTCCCACCCCATAAGAACAAAGATGCTTACCCACAATTATAAAGAACACCATGGATCAAGTTGATCCCGCTCCTTCTGTCAGTTATTGGCAAAAAGCATTCATCCATAACAGAGAAAGCCACAGCAAGCTTTGAATTCCCCTCTACCCTCTGAGGAAGTCCCTGAAGAGATATATCCAGGTCAAAGTCTGTTCTCCGAATAAGAGACCATGAAAATCCTCCTTCCAGCTCATGTTTGACGCCCAGATACTTTAGCAATTGGTCAAAGAGCTGAAAGCAACAAAAGTAGGGGGTAAATAGAACAGTTCTAGATGAGAAAGAAGCATAGTAGCAAAACAAAAAACAGCTGATGATATGCCGATCAATTACATGCCAGATTTGGAAGTGAAAAACATCCCTAGTTTAATCCTCCAGAACAAGAATAACAACACAAAAAATTTTGCTGGCATCCCCTACTGTAAGAACCAACAACTGGAATCTATTTATTCTTGAGATTCCAGACTTTATAAAAGCTAAACTTGCATAAGGGACATGAGCAAAAGATGAAGACCATTAATCAGAATCCCACTGATCTAGAGATGGAATGCGAATTTCAAATGCCTTGGAAACCCTAAGGTAAACAAAGAGAACAACCAGAAGCCTGTTGCTTCTGACAGAAGTAGCACAAACATCTATGTATGTTAACCAAAAATGTCATATATCAAGAACTTTCAAACAAATCTCAGTCCTTCACACAGACAAGACGAGGGAAATCTCAACAACATTAATATGCTATTGATTATGACCAGCATATTCAAGGGAAACAAGTACCTCTCTGCATTTTTGGCTACAGAAGCAAGATTTAGAACTATCACCTTCAACAGTAGCAGCATCCATATCCTTGATGCATGATTCATGATCTGAAAAATGGTAGAAAGTTGGAAGAGAAGGGGAGGGAATTATGTAAAATTGAACAAGATAATAAGATGATTGTACATTTTCTGGTACAGAGGCTGCACGTCGGAAGAGCCGAAACAGTTGGATCATCTTCATCAACAAGATTGTCACTGGCCAACCCACAGAACTTGCATGTACAATTTGGGCAACGCCAAACACCCGGAGGCAGCATCTGAAACAAGAAAAAAGTCATCTTCAGACATCAAGGTGAAAAGATTAACTCTCTCTCTCTCTCTCTCTCTCACACACACTCATACGCGCGCACACACACAAACACACTGACTATATCAATTGACATCCTCCAAGCAAGAGAAACGGAAAATGAAAGAAGCAGCAAACCGACACTACCAGGAAGCATAAACACCCTCCAACAGCTCAAGAAACAGAGCCAAACTGAGGAAAGAGCCTATTAACTGTTATTGAGATAACAGAGAAAAAAGCAATAGCAAGTAGAAACAGTAACTAGTATCACTTGTTCCAATAAAAGGAATAACAAGTAAATTAAGATTATCTATCCACTGTAGATTAGTTAACCTTACCTCAATGCCCAGGCAGCTCTGATGAAATGTAGATGGACAACCATCACAGCATATCAAATCCCCACCATCACCACAAAGAGCACAAGTATCATCATTTGGATCATCACCATCAATATCCACCGAGTGAAAACCAATGTTCTCAGAAGCCTCTTTCCTATTCCATGCATCAATCTGGCAATCCAAAAGGGAAACCCCAGAGTCCAGATATATATTTTGAAAGGGTTGTCGAAGTTTACTTCCTGCGTGGATCTCGAACTTTGAAACTGTAAGGATTTTACTACAGCAGCCACAATGGATGCCATCTCGTGTTACCCAGCCCTCCAACAAAATTTTGGTTCGCCTCCTATTCATGTATCTCACCTTTTGACTCAACTGCACAGCTCCAGAGTCAACTAGCCAAGAGAGCAGTGTTCTTTTCCCAGTATAAGGTACAAAACCATCACCATCTGAGTTCAGACCCTGGTTTGATCTCCGGATTAGTAAGGTGCATCTACCTAATTTTCTGCTTTTCCTGCCATGGTGACTATTGTGTCCAGAGGAAAATTTGTCACCGTTGACATGCAAAGTATGCATCGAATGGTGACCCTTAGAGGTTACACTGGTGGAACTATTACAATGCAATTTACCCTTAATTGAATTGCCACTTTGCTTTATGAATGAGCTCAATTTCTCTTCCTGACTATGGCTGTCCATACTCTCCTCATCATACCTGCTGCTTGACGCCTTCCGCGCTAAAGCTTCCCTTGCATTCTCACTCTGGCGGCTGTCTCTTTGTTTCTTTCTCATTTCCTTCTCCATCTTCTTCCTAGTATTCCTTGTAAGTTGGCTGAGTAGCTCATCTGGTAATGGTGTAATTTGAGAACATTCCACCTTAGCCTTTACAACCTCTTCATCTTCATTCAACTGCTTAAGAAGTGCGTCATACGCCTTGATGATGGACCAGTAAGCAGTTCCTGCAGGGCTTATGTAAACTGCATCCAAATAGTCCCTGTTCCTCCTAGGCCTGTAATCTATTGTCCAGCCAGCATCTACAAGCATCCCCCTAATTCTTTCACGCAACTTTTGCTTTTCAGTGCCAGAACCACGCTTAAGTTTGCCTTCATTGACTTTGCTTGGTAGGAGCTTACCAGGCGTGGTTTTCTCATCGCCAACGCTTGTCCCCGATCTTGATCTAAGACCTCCACTGCTCTTTGGTCGCAGCTTCAAGGAAGTATCACTGTCATCAGAATTCATGCCAGTGCTCACACTTGCCTTTGTAGAGAACAGCATCCTCTGGGAATTGCTAGGTTCTGCATACTTGGCTCTCATATTTCCTTTCTTTGTCAACAAAATACCACTATCACCAGAGTCCTGATCACTCACATTATCTTCACTTTTCATCGAATTCAGCAGATTCATCGGTTTCTTCTCTCTGCCAATACATGGAATTGCTTTGTCAATCATTTTAGACTCCGTGTAATATGAAGGGTGCATAAGAACGTTCTTGTTGGAAAATTCTTTAGTCCTCACAGCCTTCCTTACTTCCTCAAGCTCCATGGCACTGTGACCATTGAGAGACCCACCAATCTTTTTTTTCTTGTTCACCATAACCTTTAAAACTCCATTTTTACCTTGAACCCGAATTGGTTGCTCTGATTCATAGTCATCCCTCAGAACTGGAGCCGGCAGCCGAACTCCCTCCCTAGCAGAAGGATTGCCACTAGTGAAACCACTAGCCCTCTCGAAATACGAAGCCTGTCTATTCCCACGAAGAGCATCTCTACTTGAACCAGAATCGTAATCTCTTTCAATGCTACCTCTACCCACAGACATTGAGCCATAAAACCTCCGACTATCAATTCCACCCCGCCTACCTTGATGATCATCTAAATCATACACATCTAACCTGGTCCTCGTCCGGTCAATCAAACTATCTCTGACAATGCCATCCATCTCACTACGCCTACCACCCTCTCCCTTGCTCCTCTTCCTAGCAACCCCGCTCTTCCCCTCAACGCCCGCATCAAAACCACTCACGCCATTACGAATCCGAGAAGTATCAGGCGCCAACCTTGGCTGTGAACGCATTAACAGCTCGTCACTGGACCCGGAATCGCTGAAATCCAACCTCGGCCTCTTCTTCGATTCAAAAAGCCTCCTCGAACCGGAAGAACCCGCCCCTCCCACGCCATCACTCCCTTTCTTCCTCACAATCAAACACCCCGAAGGCCCCTTGCTCTTCACTAAGTACCCCGACGGCTGGCCAGATCTCCTCCCGTTCTCCATTCCCCCCACCAGCGAAGAATGTGCCCGCCCCAAAAACCCTAAGACAGAATCTCCCTAAATTCTCCTCAAAACCATCGCCCAATTCAGCACAAGGAAACAAATCTGAGCAAACCAAGGCGACAACTATTAGATCTGATCCCTAAGACACGACGGAGAAGACAAAATTTCGTTTTATCGTTCTGTACTACGCCGTCAAGCGACAGTGGAGCAGCGCGCCATGCATAACCAGCTTTGATGGCGCAACTTCGATCGCTGGAGGAAGAGGAAGATTAAAAGGAGAATGGATTGCCGATTTTTCTGTTTTGTTTATAATTGAACTCGCAGTCTAATTAATTAGAGAGAGCAGTGCTGAGAAAAAGAGAAAAGTTGGACGAACGGAAGAAGGGAAGAGAAGAGGAGGAGGAGGAGGAGCCCATCAGCCTGCAGCCAGACCCAGACCCAGACCCAGAGCCTCTCTGCTGGAAATTGGAATCATATTTCCCTTTCTGATTTATGTGTCTCTTGGTTTGGTGCTGTATTTTTCTTTTTTTTTAATCCATTTCGATCAGGTTTCCCTCCAAATCCTGTTACTGTAGAGGGATGCCGTCACCGTACGATGCTGCCACGTGGATATTCTTCGTCAGGGAGCTGACGTGGGGCCGATCCGACGGGATTTAGTACTGCTAAAGTCAAAACGCTGGATTTCTGGTTACTAAAAGGAAAAGGAGCTAAGAATTGACGGAGGAATGACGATGCGCGTGGTGAGACTGAGGAGGAACGGGCCGTGTAAACACTAAACAGAGGGCATTTTGGTTAAAAAATGCCAATTTTGGGTTGGTTTCAGGATGTTGGCACCTGCCACGTGAGCAGTGGGCTTTTTTAAAAGCAAATTCGGCATTGACTAGGATGGCTTTTTTTGGCCACATGGATTTGTTAGTTGTTCTATTCTCATTGTATGGGTTGTTAACCGGAAAAAATTCTTAATTACCCAAGTTTCAAAAAATGATTCTCATAATACCACACTTTAAGAAAAAAATCCAAAATGCCCAAGTTTGAAGTTGTTCGCCGCCTAGTAGAGCGAACCACTAAAGGGTTCACATGACCGAGAAGCGAACCCATTTGTTTGCTTTGAAAGAAAGCGGCCCAACACTCGTTCGCTAACATTACCAACGAACAACTACTGAATAATTGCCCTGCCGACGTAGATCAAAGCAATTCGCTTTACTTTTCTAGTGAACCACATGGTTCGCTGGAATAAGCTGCGAACCACTGCCAATAATTTTCTGTACTTTTCCCCGACATGTCACAGTGCGGGATGCGGGGATGCAGGGATAAGGCTGCTAGTGGAAGTGGATCGCTGGAGTAGGCAGCGAACCAATCTTCAGTGAAACAAAATAAATGTCGAGAACCATTTCTTTGTTCATTCCTCTCATCTCTTCACTCTGTAAAAAAACAACAGAAGAACAACACATTTTCAACAAAGAAGAAGAAGGTGACATTGAAAGGTATGGTTGTTTAAGTTAGTTGTAACATCCCTTATATCATACTTCGAATATAGATTAGTGTTTTGATTTATACTTGGTACATATATTTAGGTTTAGTTGTATTAGTTGTTATTAGCACTTGACTGTAGATTAGTGTTTTGGTTTAATACTTGGTTGGTATATTTAAGTTAGTTGTATTGATTGTTATTAGCCTTTGAATGTAGGTTAAGTATGTTTTGTTGAATGTAACATGGGTTAAATTAGTCTTTGAATGTAGATGAGTTATGGATTAGGGTTTGAAAATAATATTTGGCTATTTATTCATATTTATGCTTCGAATTGTATGTGATTTTTGATATTGTAAAATGCAGAAATGGGAAGAAATTTTAGAAAGTTCGACCTATTGATTCGATGGAATGGTCGAGTGACAAGATTTCAAAATAGTGCTGATTATGAAGGTGGTGAGGCAAGCACTGTCCGGATTGAGAGCAGATTTGGTTGGCATGATCTCTTTAATATTTGTGAGGAACGATGTTGTATAGGTAGTCATCGAAGAGTATGCAAGATGGCATATCGGATGCCGGTTTACGACGGATATGCAATGGTGTACGAAGAATCAATCTTGTCTGATGATGATGGAATTAATATGCTATTGGATTTCGTACATGAAAACAGATTTCGAGTTGTCGAGATGTATATCGAGACGGAAGAGGTGGGCGAGTATTGTGGTGGTGCTAATACCGAACATGGTGAAGGTTCTGGTGGAGTTGGAGGTTCAGGTGGCTACAGAGGTTCGGATGGCATACCATGGCCAAGAGATGAAGCTAATGTTGCACCTGGTCCAACGGTTGAAGATGATGGACAAGAATGGCCAACATGGGGTGAAGAATGGGTCAACATAGGATCATCCGCACAAGGATCAGTTAGGAATGATGATCATTGTGGGGATAAGGCAACTCCTCCCCCCACAAGGGAGGAAACTGACATGGAAGATTTGGCATCTGTGAGTAGTGAAGATGACGATGAAGGTGATGATGATGATGTCTATGAGGGGGTATTCGAGTGTAACATCCCGTTTCGGCTAAAATCGTATTACTGTCGCTAGAAAATTTCACGATTTAAAATCGAGCATTTTGACAGTATTTCGACAAAAATTGGATTATCGATCGATTGGATAAGTATACGTATTAATTATATATATATATATATATATATATATATATATATGGTGGTGTCTTCGGTGCACTCACTTTTTTGGGTGCATTGAGTGCACTCGCTTCATAACCGTCATTTTAAACATGCGATTTATGTCAAAATGATGCCAATCATCACTTATGATGTGATGAACAATAACACACATGAATTTGCACAAAAACCATTAAAGATTTACTTTAATTTGAAGGATTTAGAGTTAAGAGATTTAGGGTTAGGGTTTGGGTTTACAATTTGGGGTTTAGGGATAGAACTCAAAATTGGAGGTCTAGGGCTTAGGATAATTCGCTAATTAGTTGTTAGCATATGTTATATCATCATATTACACTAATTCTACAAATTAAAATTCAAAATCTGACACCTTAAGACTAGTTTTTGAGTTGGGTGCATTGCACCGAAGTAGCCACCATATATATATTATTCGCTAATTAGTTGTTAGCATATGTTATATCATCATATTACACTAATTTAATTAAATATTATTATTATTTAATATTTAATATATTCGAACTTAATATTTTTTATTTTTTAAAATGAAAATTGAAAATTAAAAATATATGCTCTCTCTCACTTCGTGGCAACTTGCAATACAGTATTAACATTTTGCAATGACATTATCAACATTTATGAAATGAATCGTTATTATTATACCTCATCATTATTAACGACTTCAATATACTTATCAATTCCTTACAATTACATTATTAACAATTTTGGATCAATTGTTACTGTTTTATAGTTTCGTCATCAACGCCTATGAATGAATCATTAAAGTTATGTAACATAGTCATTAATAGTTTGAATAACAATATCATTGATTTACAACATCTTTAATACTAATGATTCACATTTTCACATCATGTTTATAACTATCTAGTCATGGCCTCTTCCAATGATTTCTAATGACATTATTAACGTTTTATGAACAATTAATATTGCTTTACATTATCATTCTCAATGATCATAAAGCACAATACTAATTTTCAACATCTTGGGTACTTGTGACATAGTGCACCTGTGTGATTCAGTCAAACAAACATTGTCGAGAAAAATATTAGCTCAAGCAAACCAACATTCATGCCTCAACACCAAACTTTTAATAACAATACAATAAATCATTGATAACGAAAAGTATTTCGTTGAAAATAAACACAAAACATCAATGTAAAAATGTCCGACTTCAACATTATAAATGACATCAAACTTTCAATAAAGATACTAAAACCCATTAATATCGAATCAAGTCACAGATAAGGAAATAGATTTTTGTAATATAAAAATATTAATAATATTCCGATACAATGTTTAATGTCAAATAGCACTAAAAATGAATAAATAAGTAACATGTGTTTAATAGATAATGCATCCAAAAACTTTGATAATGATAGCAACTAATGATTGTTAAGTACCTTATTAGATATTATTAATATCTTATTTTCAAACATTGATAATGCTTATACACGCCTATTAATAATGACACCAACTACGTTACTAACTTAGACTGAAAGATTAATAACCATAGTTATATCTTTAAACGTAAATTCACTTTTGATAATGTCATAAACAAACGAATATCTAACAGGTGTGCTTCTTGATAATGACATTTGACAAAGTTACAAACATAAACGAAAAAATATTAATAATTCAAATCACTAAACATAAGCAATCTTACAAATGAATTAAATTTTTGCTAATGGTTGTATTGTGCTTGAAAAAAATATTGATAATAGCACTTCAAATGATTATAAATCATTGCGAACCAAATTGATAATACGATGTAATAGTAAATAAACTTCAAGTACCAACAAATTAAAAACACAATTTCACTTTTGCTAATGTTACAAAATACACATAACATAAAAAGTTAATAATGTCATATAAAATTATTAAAAAACATGTTGAACAACATTAATAATAACACAAACGAATACCTAACAACGAAAAAGCTCAAACCCATGCAATAAAAAGCCATAATGATGGTTCAATTTATAAATATTGATAATGTCATTACAAAATGTTAATACTTAATACTAATCGGAAGTTGCTAAGATGTGAGAGAGGCATATATTTTAAATTTCAAATTTCCATTTTAGAAAACAAAAATTATTAAATTTGGATTTTAATAAATATTAAATAAAATTAATTTCATATTTCTTTTTAATTATAATGTAGAGAGGGTTATGGAGAAAATCATGGGAGGAGAGAGAAAGAGAATCATTAATTAATTATATTAATTTTAATTATATTTGCATAACCCTATTTATCCTTAACTACCTATTAACTACTAACCCCATTAACTACCTAATCCACTATCAGCCAATAGAAAGGCTTTAAGATTTTCCTTAAAAAATTAGCCTTAAGGACTTGAACTCAAGCCTTTCCTTTGGTGTTCGTTTGTTTTGTTTTCTCCATTTCAGCAGGTCCTTCGTCATCCTCATAAGAAGTGAGGGTCTTCAATATAATTAAACTCCATCCCCTATCACCTCCTTGGACATACGACGATTTCTCAATTCTCCTATCATCTGTAGATCGAAGTTTTGTTATCTTCCTAACCTAAATAAAGCCGATGTATCCCTCTACACTCTAGGGATTTTTAGTTTTATTTCTGCCTGGCGTCTACCTATGCTTTATGATATTATGGATGAAGGTAGATTTACTTTAGGGGTTCCTCTTATCGTCGACCGGTATGAAGAATCCAGCGGTACCGAGCATCCCGACAACGATGTCATTGAGATCCGGTCTTCCCTCTCCCACTGGTTCTTTTTTCGGCGTGATTCTTTTCCTGCAGATCTCCTACTCAACATCCTCTTCTAATCGCCGTTGGCCTCTCCTACTCTCCCGCCAAAGAATGACTTTGTCGATGCAATTGTAGGAAAGGAGCTGAAATCGAATAGGAAAAGAAGGGATTTAGGGTTCGTGAGAGTTGGGAACGAACAGATTGCCAGATTGGGGTAGTAATTGAGATTGAGTACTCAATTAAAGGGTGATATCGTTTTAGCAAATCACTCTTTATTCATCTTCTTCCTGTCCGGACCCAAGTCTTAGAAATAGAAAGCCCACACGGAATGCAATATTTAGAGAGGAATTAAAGTGGGCTTTTACCAATTATTGATTTAGTTATAATTAATTAAAAATATTAACAAGTGTGAACACAGGTGTACAGCGTATGATCTTCGTACGCTAGCCTGACCATTCTTTCCCATCCATTTCATTTTGTTCTTTCTTTTTCTATTCACGGACCGAGAGAAGCAGAGCGGCCAGAGTTAAGGGGAGCGACGCGAGGGAAAAATTTCACAGCTAAATTCTTGAGCCCTAGTTATCCAAAAATCCCGTAAGTAATGCCTAATCCATCCTTATGTTGTAGTTTATCGATTTAGAGCTTTAAAACGAGTTTTTGATTTAGGAATTTATTGAATTTCTGATAAGCCAAATTAGGGTTTCGGAGTATCTGGAAGCCGGATTGAGTCCAAATTTTACATACGAGCTTCCTGCAGCAAGGTAATCAATCCTCTAGTTCTAATCCATGAATTTCGCCAATTATTTAGGTCGGGGTCCAAATCGCTGAATTCAGCTCCGGCCAAGGTTTGATGTGTTTTTATCGAGAATTTGACCGGGAGCATAGAACTAACATTGACGGGGATACTTCAGGGGATATTAGGACGGTCTCGGATTTTAATTCAGGATTCGTTGGTGAAATTGACGTTTTAGTACGGGAAGCTTAAATCGGTGTTTGAACGACCAGAACTGGTGAGGGATTAGCACGGCATACCGGGTTTGTCGTATCACAATAATTATATTGATGCGTAGAATTGACCTAGGTGAATTAGAATGGCATGATTAGGAGTGTATGGACTTTTATGCTATATGATGAACCATGGATTGTTGTATGATATTATTGACTTGCCCTAGCCGATATGGACCTTGTTTATGTTGATGATTGCATACATGTTGACATTTGTGGCTTAACCGTTGATATGACTTCATGGCTGTTTGAATAGGTGTTTTGACATGATGTGATATTGTGGTTGTTTTTGGATTCACAAGTGGGGGAAATAAACTTCCCAGGGTGATATTATGATGTTTAAGGAGGATGACTTGCATGAGGGTTTATCCCGAGGAAGTGCAATTATACGACTCTTTATTTACCTATGTTGAGCCAATTATGGCCAGGTCAATTACATGTGCAAGTAATGAATTATGATTAAGCATAATGAGATATGAATCATGTATAAGGATACCAAATATGAGTGTTGTGGTCTCACGGTCAACTACATAGTAATTAGGGCTCCCTATGCTATTACTCTATCATGATATGTATGATAGTCACACCTCTAATGCGGTGGTGACTGAAGAATTCTTACGAGATATGACCACACCCAGAGAGGTGTCGGGGTATGACTACACCCATAGTGGTGTGGGGTATGTATGACCACTTCCGACGGGATGTTGGGGTATGTATGACTACATCCGACGGGATGTGGGGTATGTTTCTCGGGAGAGTTATTAGCATGGGAGTAGCCAGGCGCCTATAAGTAAAACATGACGCATATGCCTAAGTCAATGTGGTTGAGTCTTTTGCCCATTGGGATATTAGGATGGCTGAGGTCCGATCCTAGTGTTTTGGCTTGATTGCTAGATGTATGGTAGCGCTATGCTTTGTTATGAACTCACAATGCAAGGATTGTCTCACTCAGCCATGAGCTGACCCTCTTTTATTCTTCTTCTCTGCTTATGATATGTGTAAGCCGATCATCAGCAGCAGCAGTAGATAAGTGTTAGGTGGGAGAGGAGCTAGAGTTGAAGCCAAGATGAGGTATGGTCTTCAACTATTCTGTGCTTGGACGACTACTTGGGATTTTGGCCAGTGATCCACACCTTTTTGTAAAAAAAATGTTTTGAGAACGTTTTTCATGTGCATACTAGCTTCTTATGTAGTGTGAGATATCCACAGGTGTGAAAAGTTGATGATATGTGTATATGTTGTGTAACTGTGTAAGTTGTGACGATTATGGTATGTATAAGTATGGTATGCAGTTGTGGAGTATGAAAAGTGTGACTATGGCTAAGAAAAGCCAATGCATATGGTTGTGAGTATATATGTTTGTGATGAATTTTTTTGCAGGATAAGTTGCAGGAACTGTTAGCCCATTACGCGAGTAATTCATGTCGAAATTTTATTTGGGTA